GGCAGTGCAAGGACCTTAACAATTAGGCTCCACGGATTTGGGAGTAGCGCAAAGACTTTGTTCTTGCAATAATTAAGCAAGAATTTTATTGCTAAATCGAAGTATGTAAATTTGATGTGCAAATTAAAATATAAAAGTAAATATAAATTTACTTTAAGGATGCTCGATAATTCTTTTACGGATTCGTATCTCAAATTCAATAAATCGCCTTTAAGCAAGAAATCAAAGGCATAGTTAAAATAATTAATATTAAAAATATATGGGAGTGAGTCAATAGAAATGCACCAGATCTTTTTTAGTAAAATAGTTTTGCAACTTTAAACAAAGATTAAATGATAAGAATATATCTAAATTTAATAATTTTTTTTTTAAATAAATTCTATAAGATTTTAGAATTAATTTTAAAAAAATTTATTAAATTTGGTTAAGCCTTTGCTGAGTTATTTTTGTTTAAAGTTTCAAAAAACTTTACTTAGAAAAAATCTGGTGCATTTCTATTAACTCACCTCCATATATATATGGTGTCTGAGTACTTCTCAGATTGCATACTTTAAAAACAAATTTATGTTAATTCTAAATAACTAAAAAAATTAAATAGATTTTAGAACCTATGGTTGCAATATAATTTCCCTAAAGTAATTAAATAATAATTTTTAAGTAATAATTTTATATCGATACGGTTTAAAAAATAATTTTAGCATAAACATACTTTAATCAGGTATAAGCCAGTATAAGCTCCAGAAGCAGCCAAAAAACAGAGGCTTCCAAAAGTTAGGTAAACCGTGTTCAAATAGTGTTGAACAGGCTTGTTTGGGTCATTTACATTCGTAAAGGCACCAGAATCTCGACTAGAATTTTGTGAACTCATTATTTTTTTTTGAATCGTTAGATAAAATAGCTTGTTTTATATTTACTCGAAATTTTTGGAGTTATTGGATAAAATAACTTATTTTATTTTTACTTTACACTATACATGTGTGCCTAAATTCGGGGCGATTTACGGCATTACGGCATTACGGCATTTTTTATATTTCCGGCAGCCTCTTCAAAATGCCCTAAATGCCGAAAATAATTACGGCAGCCGAAATTATTTTCGGCAGTCGTAATTATTTCGGCTGCCGTAACCATTTTCGGCTGCCGTAATCATTTTCGGCTGCCGCAATTATTTTCGGCTGCCATAATTATTTCAGTTGACAAAAAAATAAACTCATAATTTATTACAGCTACCGACCCAACTCATTTTGTACAACCCTCTAGCTAGTGCTTAACACAATTAAACAAAAACTTGACACTCAAATACTTATAATTAGTCGAACATCAAATCTCATAAACCAAACAAGTTATACATACAAATTAATGTGTGTATAATTAGGGAGTCACCTTCTGTGGCATAATCAAAAGTGTTTCTTGTGAAATTTTATTTATAAAGCTATATTGATCCAACTCTAAGATAATGCGATTTCGATGGCTTAATATTATCTATAACTTTTTTACTTTGAAAAACAAAATATGTATGTTTTGACTATCACGTTGCACCTGATCTTTAAATTTTAGTAGGTCAAAAAACTACAAGAACGATTATTTTTGTTGGTTCGCTATCTAAAATCCTTCAGACGGCCTTTATAGGTAATTATAAATATTATCATCATAGATCATATAAATGTTTGGAGCTTCAATCTCTACATAAGGTGATGCAAAAGCTACGGTTTGATGCAATTCTTTCATGGAAATGTAATTTTTTTTGGTATGTTTGTATATAAATCTTATAAAAATTGTATCAAAACAGCAATTTAGTCTTTTAGCACTAGGGATGAGCAAATAGAAAATTTTTTGAAATATTGCGCAGCCCTGCATTATGGTTAATGCAGGTCAAAATTGCTAAATTTCGATGGTTTCCAACTTAAAAAATTTCGCAGTTAAATTAGGGTTAGGGTGTGATATTAAGTTAGGATAGAAAGAGCCTTCATAATACCAAAATTCGCAAGGAAAACTTTTTGTTAATGCGCAGGAAGCAGTTTCATATTAACCCTAGGTGCCGCACAAAAAATGCGCGGCAGATCCTCAATTTTGATTGGCTAACGGCTGTGGATCTGCAAAATTTTGGCCCGCATTACAAAATTGGTTGCTAATTTCTGGCTTGAATTAACTTTTTAACTTTTTCATTACAAAAATAGAAATTTTCAAAGAAATAGGTCCGGACGATGGTAAAATTAGCTCAGGAACAATTTTCACTTAATGAGCGGTTGTGATTTAATTAGTAAAATTTCGAGTAATTCCGGCCAAAAATTTTGATCGTCGCTCTTGGCCAATCAAAATCGAGGATCTGCCGCGCGGCACCTAGGTTCAATCAGTTTCATAGGTAAATCATTTTTTACGTTTTTTCATGTTACATTGGATCTTGAAATCTGATTGGCTGATGAAATGGTGCCGAAATTTTTTAGGGTGGCAATGCTGGGGATTGTCCACACGCCACACACGTGCATAATATTTTAGGCACACATGTATAATAATGATAGAAAATATTTTCGGCATTAGAAAACAATTTCGGCAGCCAAAATTATTTTAGACAGCCGAAATTATTTTCGGCAGCCGAAATTATTTTAGGCAGCCAAAATTATTTTAGGCAGCCGAAATTATTTTAGACGGCCGAAATTATTTACGGTTTAGGCTGCCTAAAATATTTTCGGCACTTTTCGTTTTCGGCAAGCCAAAAAGCAATTTAGTGCCCATGTGTACTTTACACATAATTGTATATTGCAGATCGTACACAATTTTTCCTGTTTTAACGTTAAGGGTCACAATCGTACTAATATATGTATGGAAATTGTCTTATCGTTATATACTAAATTTTTTTACCTTGTTTATACTACGTAATTATTTAATACAATAAAATATGTTTGTAATATAGTATGTTAAAAATGACATGCTTTATTTATATCTATTTTATCGATAGAATACTATGTAATAACAAAATTTCTAATAAATTGTTTATTGACTTAGATATTATTGATAAATTGAATTGAAACTATAAATTTAATTGGCAAAGAAATTAGATTTAAAATAAAATTATAACTGTATTATTAGATATGATATAGATTATAGATCAAATTTAATTTTTAAATTTTTTGCCATCGTAGGGTAGTTTATTCTTCCAAGAGATTTGTAAAAAGGGTAATTCAATTCTATCAGGTATTATAATGCGTGTGGTTTTTTGGAAAAAATTAGAAAGTAGATTTACGACATAGTAAAAGAATAAAAAAAACATAATAATATATACAGTTAAAAGGATGTAGAAATAAACTGAGAGGGTATTAAAGTTAAATTTATTGTTAAATTCTGACATTATGTTTTGTGGGTAGATCAAGAGGAGCTACAGTGCTTCGCAATGAAGTATCTAGCGGATGCACTTTTAAAACTCATTATTTATTATATCTCGTCATTTATCGTATCGTAACTCTTTATCGTCTATTTAAGATACTAATACATTGTACATCCTTAAAAATGATCTACGTTCACCCTTACGTTAAGGCCTTAAGGGATAATATTTTCTAATAATTATGCTCCAAAATTGGAAGATAATGGATATTGATATTATCGTTATTTGGTTTGATTCAAAATCAACCAATCATAGCATTGCTTAAAATTTATATTCAGAGTTGTCATAAAAACGACCCTTTTTAAGTTCGTAATTAAGGATAAAGAATGTTATAATATCTTCATATTTAGTTATAGGTTGAAAGTTAAAAGGGCTGTTTTCTTAAAAATTTGCATCCGAATTCACCCTTACCAGCATGTTCATGACCAAACCAATCGTTCACCACCTGACTGTTTCAACAAACAGTGATAGTACTTTCTTTTCAGTTTAGCGTAGCATTTTACTTATATTTATTTCTTATTTATCTCATATGTGGACCAATAAAGCTCTTCTATCGAGTATTTCATTGGTACAGTAACTTACAGAGCAACAGTTTATCGAAAAGAGTAAAGTTCAAAATAAAAAGAAGAAAAAAAGATGATAAGATAGAAGAACCATATATTAATTTTTTTAAGATAAAAATTTTAGCTTATAAGCTAAAAATATACAAATTTTAAAAAAAATTTAATTAAAAAAAATAAAATTTACAATTTTTTGATAAACTCTTTAAATATTAATTTTAGATCTATAATTTTTTAATAAAAATTATAATTTAAATAAAGAATAATAACTTTAATTATTATAACTTTCATAATTTATTTGTAAAAATTATAATTTGTATTAGAAGTAAAAAAAAATTTATAGACAAAAACATATAAAATATAAAGAAAACTTTTATAATACAAAGTTCAAAATAAAAACTTTAAACTTTTATTACCCTTAAGTTTTTTAATAAATTTAAAAAATTTTCTTAATAAATTTATTAGAAAATGTCTTTTTACTTAGAAAGTATATAATAAAAATTAATATTTAAAATTTTATATTAAAAATAATTTTTTAAAAAAATTCGCAGGAGAAACGGTTTAAGAGATAAGGGAGAACGACTGTATGTATAATAAAGAAAATACTCTAATACAGAAGACTAGAACTTTTCTTCTAGTTCTTTTAAACTTAAATCAGATAACATGTAAGAATTTACACTATCTACGGGTTGACATTTTTCAATTTTTTCAATAAGTTTAATCCATTCAAAATTTGTCACCTTCCTAAGTCTAGGAGGGTCAATGGTCTCACTATTGTGAATTACCTTCCAGCCCAGCCTTTGAACAAGTATTAATAAGCGTCGGGCAGAAATCATCATATCACTTATTCTTGTTGAATTACCCTTAGGGTAAATAATAGATGCTTCTGCTTCCATAATCTTATATACGCGACTTGCAACTACTTCGCCTTTTGCAAATCGGCGGTTCCAAGGGTTTGCTTCCGGGTTTACTGCTTGTTTCTCTTTTCCCGTCTCTTGATCAAACACAGTTATAAGGCTGGGGACCGAAAACTGGTTATCTTTTTTTAGTTTTTTTACTTTTATTGTCACCTCACATAAAATACATGCAAGCTCACAAAGAGAATGGATATATTTAACCCTTGAATTGCTATAGCCGGTTTCATTATGAGAAATTTTCCTCCATACATTTCTTATTTGACTTTTAATATCTTCATTTTCCTCTTCGAATTCGTTAGTTGTGGTAGGTAAGGAACTCGAAAATTTATTCCATTCGTTAATTAATATTTCATTAAAAACCTCAATTCTCGACATATCACTGTGAATTTTTATTGGCACTGGATCTCCTTTAATTAGGATATTGGTGTAGTTATTTTTCTTTTTCTAAAGTTTTTTGAATCATTTTGAGTTAAATATGGGCCAAAGTGAATAAAATTACATTATCCGGCAGCTTACTATGATTTATCTGCCCAATAGTTTTATTATTGGGCAGAAACGAAAGTTTAAAATAGTTTAAAATAGTTTAAACTTTGCATCTGCCCAATAATAAAATTATTGGGCAGAAAATCATAATAAGCTACTGGATAAACCCGTTATCAGGCAGCGCCTGATAACTATTAATTATAGATTATTACCTGATCATCATCATTATTATGTTCTTCGCTTAACTATTTAGTAAAAAATAAATATTTAGTTTAGGTATAATTAAAATTCATTAAGCCGTTCAAAGTATAGTTTGAAATCGGTTTTATTTTTCATATGTTAAAGCCGGTTTTAATCGGTTTTAATATAGAAAAATAAAACTGGTTCCAAGCTCTAGTTCAAATATGTATTGTAGAGTGGATTGGTTTTATTGGTCAATTAAATCATGTGATTATTCTGTGTTGTGATTGGTCATTTAATTTGCTTCAACTTAAGTTCTTACTTGTGAAGGTTGAATATATTCATTTAGAATATCGTCTTCACGATCAATTGAATTTGCAGATTGCAGAGAAATTGAGCTTTCATCTGCTTCAATATCTTTAGAATTACTACGCGATGATTCCTTTTTAAATTGCAATTTCACTTTAGTACAAAATAGATCCATGCGCATCGTAATTTAATTATGAATTCCCAACCTGAGCTTCGATTTCTTGATCATCTTCTATTTCATGAACTCGCTTTAAAAAATAAGAATGTTATTATATGGAAAGTGACCGTTAGCATTGTTTCTAGCGATTTTTAATAGCACGTCTTAATTATGAATTCCTACCTCACTATTAATCTCCAACTGGATTTCTGAAGCATCTTCATTTATTTCATGAATGCGCTTTAAGAAATAAGAAAAGAATATATAATATATAGAAAATGATCTTTAAAATTCTAGTGAAATTACAAGCAAATTTTAATAACGAGTCGTAATTAATAATTCTTACATCACTATTAATTTCAGTTGCACCTTCACCTATTTCATGAATTTGCTTTAAGAAATGAGAAAGAATATTTAATATATTAAAATATCCGTTAAAATTCGAACATTATTATACTAATCATCTACTAACGTGATCATTCTCATTCTCTTCTATCATAACAGTTGGAAATGATTTATCAACATCTTTTACATATTTTTCTGATAAAATGAAAATTTTTAATTTACGATTAATGATGGGAAAAAAAATAAGGTCTACACATACCTTTACCAAAATTAGATGAAATTTTTGGTTTCTTTTTCTTTGTATTTCGGTCATTCTCATGATTCAATCTCCTTTTTTTTTGAAGTCTTTTTGAATATCGTGTCTTTACGATTTCACCCTTTTCTGAGGAATCACCTTCATTTCTATTATGACTCTCCCGCTCAATATCTGAATCTTGGTTCTTTATGTAGAGAATTTTGTTAAAATTCGAGTTAATAAATAACTCACACTAATGCTATATTAACATAATAACTTACATTAATGTTATACGAGGACCCATTTTTTTGAAACCTCATTGAATATCGTGTCTTACGTTTCGATTTATTTAAACTTTCGATTTCACTCCTTTCTGGAGAATCACTATCATTGCTATTAGAACCCTCTTGCTCAATATCCGAGTTTTGGTCCTTTATTGGAAAATTTTGTTGAAATTCGAGTTAATAAATAATTTGCATTAATGTTATATTAATACTAATGTTATATGAGGGCTCATCATTTAACAGAACTATATTATTTATTATTATATTTATTTATTTGAAATTTACCTGATTATCTTCATTATTCAAAGGTTGAACTTGTTCAGAGATATCATTAACTGACATCGATACATCCATTTCCTCGTTATTGTCGGGGTCATTACTGATACTTTCTTCTTGCTGAATATTTTGTAATTTGTCAATATTAAATTGGATTAATCAAATAGTATTATAAATATTATTGAAAATTTGTTACCTGATTCTCATCAGAAAATTCATTATCTTGTTCATCAATACATTCATTATTTTGATACTTGTTCTTAATTCGTTTAGAACTTCGAAACATTTTATTTATCTGACTATCTTTAGTCTGTTTGTTTTTTGCAGTATTGTTATCTTGAATATCGGGCATTAATTCATCGTCGTTTTGTGAGAACGATTCATCTATAATTCCCTAAGTTTTTTTAATTTTTGAGTACTGAAGTGTTTACTGATTAATGTTCTTATTTCAGCACTTACTTTGTCAATTACATTAGGTTCTTGTTCAGGCTTATTAGATGATTTTTTATGATTTTCATCATAAATAAGAAGCACTCTTGGTGGCGTGTTTAGTTTTTTAATAATATTGTTGCCATTATTTAAGGCAATAGTTGCTATTTGTAAGGTGTAATTGAAATGAATACTAGTAACTTCCCCCATACTTGCAATCAGATCGATCGAACCATCAATAATTTCTTCTTTTTCTACAATTTTAGCCATTAAAGAATTGATTTTTTTGGAATGTGAGATCAGAGTAACTGAAAGGAGGAATATAAATATAGCTATCGTGCAATTACGTAATCATTATATAACTAATTTTTTTTGACTATTTAATTAAATAAATGTCGGGGATGATGCTGAAAGGAGGAATATAAATATAGATATTGTGCAATTACGCAATCATTATATAACTAATTTTTTTGACTATTTAATTCAATTAACTATAAAATCACTGATTAGAGATTAATAAATTTCGGGGATGATGCTGAAAGGAGGAATATAAATATAGATATCGTGCAATTACGCAATCATTATATAACTAATTTTTTTGACTATTTAATTAAATTAACTATAAAATCACAGAATTCTGAGATTAATAAATGTCGGGTATGATGCTGAGATTTGGGCCTCGATTTGAAAATATAAACCCTAGTGATAGCAATATTCATTATATTGTTGTGCTTTTACATTTTTAATTCTTTCTGGAATCTTATTCCATATTCTTTATGAATATTTCTTTTCAGGAACATTGTGTATTTGGTGATAATTAATAATAGCGCATATTTATAAAAAAAAGTCTTTACCTATTTATGCTTGTACGTTTCTTTTTTTTATCAATATAAGTATGCACTATTAGCGATAAAAAGTTTGATTGATGTAAAGAAATCAACACGAACCAGCCCGAATAGACGGAATATCTCAGAATTTAACTAGTTGATGATTTAATCGATTAGTGTTTCAAAATTTTCCAAATCGATTAGTTGGAAAGTTGTTAATTAGTTGGTTTTTCACTTAATGATTTGGATCACTAGGTGAAAATACCAATTATTAGTTACTTTATGTTAAAGTAATCATTGCCACAACATCCTTAGTGTTAGTCAATTCATAGATATGGCCAATTAAATCCGATAATCTAACATCTTTTGGCCAATCAAAATTGACTATTAATTTTTATAAAATAGAGTGTAATACATATAAAAGTCAAACTTTTACTAAGTTATTTCATCTCATGTTAAAGTTATTTTTCAGAACAACTTAACATAAGACATAAGTATTGATTAACTTAAAGTTTGATATAATCCATTAGTTAAATACGTAATAATGTTTGATAACTTTTATATTAGCTTCTGGCCAATAAAGTTACTTTATATGAAAATGACCTAAATGACTGGATTATTTGTTGACTATGGGTCAAATTAACAGGCCATTTACTGTCAAGACCTATAATGATAACGAATCACATGAATAAAAAATAATTAGTATCCGTTTAGATATTTATAAAATTCAACAGATATCTGAATATTTTTTATATCTGGTATTGTAACTCAAAAAAAAACCTATTTTTAATAATGGTTTAAATTTAAAATAATATATAACAAAATTTTTGTTAGCTAAAATGTTACATTAATTCCTATGTAATGTTTCGTATCACTCTCATGCTCAATACAGATATTCCTTAAAGAGAAAACCCAATATATGAGAATTCAGTGATTTTTCTATTGTTGTATAAAAGAAATCGCATAAACTGGAGTTTCTGGTTGAAACATAACTCGGGGGTTAATTTATTTTCTGTAATAAATTAAACAAAACCATACAACCAATTTAGTCACAACTGAAACGTTTAACTTGAAATTTTAACATTGTTCACAATCATCAACAACTAAAGATTCCAGTTCTATTGTTTAAACAATTGAAAATTCAACATCTTGAAGGTTTGTTGGTGTCAAATATAATTATTATGGAAAAAGAATAAACATTTGAATTTTACTTAAGCGAATAATATTTAGGATTCTGAAAATGAGCACTTTATATCGATATTAAAAACGTTTGACCATTACAAAGTCGGGTATAATTGGGATGACCACGCCACTCAATTAGGTTTATCAACGCGAGAGTCAAACGAAATACATGTAAACAAAATTAACGAGTCACGCGAATATGCTATTAAAGTGACTGAATTTGAAAAAGCTAGAGATAAATTTGTCTCTGAATTTAATAATATTGAATTGATACCCGATGCAGAAAACGTTATATAATACCTGTTAATTTTAGATAACATATTTTTATTAATTCATGTGTCAAACTGTAGTTTTAAAATAAACTACTGTTTATTTATATGTATTATAATTCACAGTTCACAACT